GACTGACCATCCACTAATTAGGCGCTCTATCCTTCATGGCATCATGGAAACAACCCTAAGGTGACCCCTGGGAAATCAGGCATCAGAGCTAGAATGCATGAAAGTCAGACAAGGAGGGAGGTTGGAGGGAGCCAGAGTCCTCCCTTTGGAAATTCTGGTGCCCATCTCTTTCCTGCTGTTATTAAAAGTAGAATATTGTTTTTATTTTTTTCTTTCCCTTTCCTTGTTCTTTTTTTCAGAGCTCAAAGTGAAACCCAGGGCCTCACACAGGCTAAGCACACAGTCTAGCCCTGAGCTGCATTCCCAGCTGGAACATCATTTTTAAAGTTAAAATTACTGGGTAGATCTAGATAAGTTGTTCTCAAACGTTCTTTTCTGAGAGCTCCAGAACCTATCATGCATCTAAATGGATATTTCATAAGAGGAGCTGGGAGAATAAACAAGGAACCAACAAAAATGATTACCTGGAAGATATGGGGTAAGAAGGGAGGACAGAAGCATGACTTCTTTATGCAGTTTTGCCCTTGGGAGCATATACACACATAGCCTCCTTGAAAAAGTATTGTCAGAGTTGGAAGCCCAAAATGTAGAGCAGCTGTCATGGTGAGTAGAGACCAGATGTACTACTCCTTCCTCACTCCGGTCTCAACACTGAGTGCCATGGCCTGCCCCAGTCTTTTGTTTTGTTGCTGAGGAAAGGAGGACTAGGGAGCCTAGCTGTCTTTCTAGTTTCTCCCCGTAGGACAGAGTCAGGAGGGTTAGATCCGCCCCCAGAAGAAACGACACACTCAGCCGTTTTGAAAGATTTATTTTTAATTAAAAAATAAAAGTTATCTTAACATATCTGCATTGGCAGCTTCAGGGAGGGTAACTAAAAGAAGCAAGAAAAACAAGGCTTACCAGTTCTTGGTCACTTGACCATCTTATCATAATGGGTACAAAGGCACACATTATCTCCAAACAAACAAACAAACAAATGTGATCCAGAAACATTTCTAAGAACTTACCACTCCCTTCCTCCAACTCTTTTGTTTGCCCACCCCACGCCCCCCAAAACCCAAAACATTAAATTCTTTTAAAACTACCGAAATAAGTGCTGAGTCAGCAAGGAGCCTGGGCAGGCTGTCAAAGCGCCGCCATCTCTCCCTGCTTTGACGACTGGCTGCCCAGGGACAGGGAGCTGGTGGGCGAGACCTTCTGCTGCAGGCTGGCATGGAGTGTCTATCCAGCCCAACAGCTGTCACCCCCGCCAGGACAGGAGCTCGAAGGCACTGTCTCTCTCAATCAAGGGCATCTATGGCTTACGCGGCCTTCAAGGAAGAGGATGGCCTAAGATAAGCAAGTCTTCCTCAGATGCTTGCGATGAAGGCGCCACTGAGAACTGTGGGCGGGAAGGAGGCAAGCTGGCCGGGATGTTAGAAGTGTTTCTCTCCCTGGACTCCCTGCCTTCACTTTTCCCTTCTTCCCAGTCTCCCCTTCCCCTCAAGAGTTTTATTTTAGCTTAATGGCGGGGGTTTGGAAGAGGCTCCTGGCAGCTCCTGGGGCTGGCCTGGCGGCTCTGCCACCTCCAAAGGGACATCACATGCTTTTAGTTCCTGCACGTCACAGGGCTCTTCCTGTCCCTGCAAGGGCTCTGAGCGTTCCTGGCTCTGGGCCTGGCTGTGCATCTTCTCTTCAGCTTCGATCTCTTCTGACGTAGGGATGGAGTTCTTCTTGGGACGACCTTTAGGTTTTGTGGGTGCTTCCTGTCCACCTTTAAGAACCTATGTGAGAAAAAAAGTGTTACAGAATCTCAGAAATAACTCCTTTCCACCATTTTTCCACTCCCCAGTACAACCTCATGCAGCATCTAAACCTTCCTTCCCAGCAGCAATGATACAGGGTTTGGCAAAACGTGTATATTAAAGTCACCCACTTCTGTGGTCTATAAAGATGACTCCATTGAGGCTTCATGCGCTTTAGGCAATATCCTAATCTGGGCATTTATTAACATCATCACAAACACAGGAAAATCAACTTCAGCCAGCTGGGGATGTAGCTCATTGGTGGGTTCCAAGCACTTCCCCCCAAATACGGAATTCAGTAAGGAAAGAAATGAAAATTAAAGCATTAATGAAAAACTATCATGTTGGCAGATTAAAAGGACAGTGTTTATGGCAATCAGGAAAACAATTACACTCTAATGTGAAAGTATTATTAATACAACCTTTCGAAGACTGAGAATTCAAATCAAAAGTCTCAAAATACGCAACCCTTTTCTGACATGGAAATTCCTAAGCATAAATTCTAAAATGTCATCTAAGACTGAGACAAAGGTTGATTTGTAAAATATTATCATGATATCGGTTATAACAGGAAAAGTTGGGGTGGTATCCTAAAGGTTTAGTCATGTAATCAGGTAGGTAATTATAATATATCCCACAGAGAAAATATTTGATAATCATTACAATATTATACAGGAGAGTGTCTAAAGACATGGGAAATCTTACAAATCAGTGGTACTTCAGTTCACGAACTTAATTCTTTCCATGATCCTGGTCGAAAACTAAATTGGACGAGTTCCAAATCACAATCCCCTATAACATCATCATTGAGCCTAACCACTGAATTTGATTTGGTTTGATTGTATATTTTTGTAAAAAGTGGGCTATTAGCAGAGTCCAGTTTATACACTAGAAAGCTATACATCATGTAGTTTACAGTGTTTGGATTCTGGAAAATTTTTCATCTGTTTGTGTTCTTTATGTATTTTGTAAAGTTTCAACAAGAATTATGCATAAGTATTTCTATTAGAAAAAGCTGCTATAAAAATATAGTATTGTGTTGTTCAAAGTAGTAATAGAATATAGTAAAAGCATCGTAACTTTGAAAGTCAGAAAAGTAAGTTAAATTTCTGACACTTCTCAGCTTTGTCTGTGGGAAAGTTCTTTAAAGAGGCTGAGCCTCAGTTTTCTGATCTGCAAAATGGGGATAATAATTTCACAGGGTGAGTTGAGGGTAGCCAGCAGATAATATATATGAGAGAGCTAGACATGTTCCTGAATGGCAGATTTCCTCAACTCAGAGAAGGCCCGGCTTCTCCTGGAAGCCTGGCTTGCTTCCCTAAGTCAGTGAAATTCTATTTGCCATGTGCCCTAGGAGTTTTTTATAAAATGCTATCCCTGTATATTTACTTGCCTGACTCTCCCTCTATGTCCCTGCACACAGCAGGTATTTGACAGCTGTGATGAAATGAACTAAACTTTCTCAATAAACATTCCCAAAAAGTTGAAGGAACACATAAAGAAAGCAGAAGAATTGCACCCCAAGTGGTCTTTGCTGATGTCAAAGCACTTACACATTTATTAACCCAATTCGTGTTCTAAACCCCATGTGTAAAAAGGGGTAATTTTTTCCTATTATATTTTACTTGGAATGTAACAGACAGTACTTTTTCCATTGGCTCCAAAACCTGGCTTGGTGTGATTAATTTTCTAGGCAGGTATGAGAAGGGCTTTGAAAGGATTTGGATTAAACAGAGATTGAGGGGTGAGAGAGATCTCCATTCCTTTTACACTATTGGTCAGCTTTACATCTCTGTGAAAAAAATACCTGAGATAAATCAATTTAGAAGGAGGAAATCTTTATTCTGGATCATAGTTATTGAGGTTTTAGTCTGTGGACACATGGTCTATTGCTTTTGGGCCTGTGGTGAGTCAGCACATCATAGTAGCAAGAGCATGAGGTAGAGAAAGCTGCTCACCTCATGGTGACCAGGAAGCAAAAGAGAGAGGTAGTGAAGGGAGACAAAAAGAGGGCATATGCTCTTCAAGGACACATGCCCAGTGACCTAACTCCCTCTTACTTGGTTCTACCTCTTAAAGTCCCATCACCTTCCAACAGCATCAAGTTGAGGCCCCAGCCTTTAAACATGCATCTCTGAGGAATGTTCCAGATTCAAACTATAGCACATACTAACTTAATGTTATTTTCCCCTGTTGCACAGGAGTTCCTTGAAGACAAATTCTGTATTTCTCCTAGGAAAATCTAATTTCCAATAAGCTTTCTCTATAGTCAGTAATATTTACTGATAATGTCTCTTTTCTTCAAGAACAGCATGGGCCCTCCAGGTGCTGAACTTTAAGAATGAGTGTAGCAACTCATCAAATCACAAGTTCTTTTACAGAACAGCTTTGGGGTATAAATCACTTCTCACACAGTTCATCTGCCTCAAGTGCACAAGGCAGTCACTTTCAGTACAGTCACATAGTCGGGCATCTCTTGTGACAATACAGTTTTAGAATGTTTGCTTCATTCCTAATAGGAACTTCATACTCATCAGTGCACTCTGCATTTCCCCCCAACTCCTTGAACTCAGCTCTAGGCAACCACCAACTCTGTCTTTTCTCTTTATAGATGTGCCTATCCTGGACATTTCATATTAATGGAATCATTTGATATGTGGGCTTTTGTAACTGGCTTCTTTCACTTGGTATAGTGTTCTCAAGTTTATCCATGTTGCACTCTGTATGAGAAAATAACTTTCTGTTTTTTGCATATACTATGTTTTGTTTATTCATTCTTCTGTTGATGGACACTTGGGCTACTTCCATCTTTTCCTATTGTCAATAATGCTAGAATGAACATGGATATGTAAATATCTGTTCCAGTTCCTGCTTTCACTTCTTCTGGGTACACACCCAAAAATGGAATTGCTGAATCATGTGGCAACCCTATGATTAACATTATTAACATTTTTAGGACTTGTTTATTTTAAAGAGAGTAAAAAATAATTTAAAAAATTAGAAATGATACAGACTTTCACAAAACAAAGATGATATGAATTCAACAATGGTTGTTATATTGCATATTGTTGTCATCAAAGTAGTTGTTCAGGTTACCAGATATAAGCTTGCAAAATTGGTAAAAAAAAAAAAAATTAAACATTAACTGTTCCTTTTAATAAACCAATAGAAACTAGTAGAACAATTATATTAGCTATCTTATATATATATATTTTACCTTCCTTCTTTCTTTCTTTTTTCCTTTCCTTCATCCCAGTTGTTCTTTCCAGAGCAGCTACACCATTTTTCATTCCAAACAACGGTATGTATGGATTCCCATTTTCCACATCCTTACTTACTATTATGACTTCTTCATTACAGTCATCCCAGTAGGTGCAAAGTGGTCTCTTATTGTGGTTTTGATTTGCATTTCCCTGATGACTAATGATGTTCAGGATCTTCTCACATGCTTATTGGGCAGTTGTGTATCTTCTTTGGAGGAAACTCTATTCAAATCCTTTACTACCCTTTCTAAACGTGGCTATCTCTTTCTTAGTGTGTTGTAAGAATTATTTAAATATTTTGTAAATGTTCCTTATCAGATATAAGGTTTGGAAATATTAGTTCCCATTCTGTGGGTCATGTTTTCACTTTCTTGATGATTTTCTTCACAGCACAAGAGTTTGTAATTTTCATGACGTTCAATTTAATTTTTGTTGTTGTTTATGCCATCAGTGTCATTTCTAGGGGAGATTTGTCTAACCCCATATTATGGATATTTATTCATTTTGTCTTCTAAGATTTTTATAGTTTTCGCTTCTCTGCTTAAGTCTATCAGAAATTTTAAGTTTATTTTCGTGTACAGGTATGAAGAACGCCATATGTTCTCAGTAAATATCTCCTTTTTGCAATGAGTCGGCTCTATCTGTTTGAATCCACCCAAACAGCTAACACAGACTTTTGAAGGGACCTTTAATGAGGTATGGATGCTGACAGAAAACATCTCTGGGGAGGAGATGTCCCTTCACTCCTTTTCAGGTAAGTCAGTATCTGATTTTGATTTCAGGCTGAGCAAAGGCTTTTGAAACCACCTGAGTGTGCCAAGAAGGAATTTACTTGGTGAAAGCAGCTCCACTGGGTATGAAAGAGGTTATACAAAAGTAAGTTGCCCCATGTAGTAATCATGTTTTTAAAAGGGCAGGTCTGAGGAAGCCACCTAATTGGCAAAAGAAAGTCCAGCCCAGCAATTAGAGAACACCACCCACACAGCTTGGATCGATCTCATCTGGCTGTTTTCCTACAGCATGAAAAAGAAATCAAAACAATCAGACCATTTTTAAATGGAATAAAACATTCCAGTGCAAGCAATAATTAGGAGATAACTACCCTATTGGCTGCTTTCCACATCAACCTCTGGCCCCTGCTTCCAAGCGCACCTGAGACATGCAATTATCTCCGAACCTCCCTGCCCAGGAACTGCACTCCTGTGCACCCTGTGGCCCTCCGCCCAGGAGCCCTTCTCCCCAGCTTTTCCTAGAACTCATTTGTCCCCTTGGTCAGTGATACCAGACAACCCATTGTACCGGAGGCCATATGCTTCTCTCTGCTTCTTGGAGAAACACGTAGCGTACCATCTATTTTTATTATCTCTTGCTGCTGACAGTTTTCTTCCCAACTCTAGAGCAAGGCATTCAAATGCTCTGGCACTGAAGCTTTGAAGATGGTCTTTTGCTTCCTTCTAGAGGTATTTAGGTGGTGGACAGGCACTCTGGCTAGAGAGCACAGAATATTGGTGCAGAAGGGAATCTTCTCCCTCCCTCCCTTCTGAGATATGAACAGCTAATAGAAAGGGCTTTTCAGGATCAGAGCTAGTCAAGGGCAGAGCTGGAATTTGAACACAACACCCTTAACTATTCAAATCCAACACTCGTAACAGTATTTGATTCTGTACAATGTGTAAAGGACACATAAAATTCAACAGTGCTTTTTCTGTGTCTGGGATTTATCTGCAATTTCCCAATGTCCCTGCAGATTCCAGGCAGTAGACTCTTGACCTTTGTGCCTTTTGCTCCTATTTCCTCTCTATCTGTAGCTTTTTAGAACTGTACAGGCCATATAACTGAGGGCAGCTTCCATGAAGCTGAGAAAAACAAGTTTGGATGCTCCAGCATAAATCTCCTCTGAGAACATTACTGCTCACCTTAGCTGACTGTCACAGCCTGAAAGCAGATGTTCTGTTACACCTTAAACAGGGCTTCAAATGCCCAACACCCAGTACTACTCTTATCCAAAAGAAAAGCTCAGGGTCCCAGAAACCCATAGAATTTCATTTCAGCTTATCTTTGTTAGCCTCCAAAAGTTTGGATTCTTTGGAGACATGGATTTTGTGGATAGATAAATAACAGCAGTAACAATGCCAGCTAACATTGCTTGGCTTCATCCTACCTGGCCTGCACTGTCCTCAATGTTGTATAGAAATTAGCTCAGTTGATAAAACAACTCTACAAGGTACATGTAAGTCATTTTACTGATGAGGCACCCACAGGTTAAGAAACCTGTCCAAGATTACATAGATAGTAACTGGTAATGATTTCACAGAATTCTCAGCTATCTGGGACTTTCAGTGCAAAAGATAATGATGGTGGGTGGTGTGTGGCCCACACAAATTCTGCAAATGGGAAAGGAATGTGGTATCCATTTGGATCATCTCACTATATTTTAAAGCTGAAACAAGATCATTGAATAATAAGATGCTTTCAGCCTGTTGCAAAACACTGTGGATCCTACTGGAGTTGATGCCAACAGAAATGGAATAGAGGGTGAGTGTCCCATCGAATGTGCAAGATTAAATTTACCCAACCCGCTATAGATTACAAATGCTGACCAGTCAAAACTAGTTGGAGATGCTATCTGGGTTTTGGCAGGTAGTCCTTGGCAGCCGTGTGAATAAGTATGAGAAACAAGTGCTAATCTTTTTCCAGTTCCAATTAGGTTACTAGCCTTGAGACATCTTTATTACCCAATTATCTTTTTCTTTTCCTCTCAGTACCTGAAGAGATAGCCTTGAAAGAGTTTTACCAGGAAAACAGATGAAGCAATCCAAATCTCAACAATGCCTTGCTGTTCCAAGGGAGTCAGATTTCAGACTCCCAGCGAAGACAGTCCCTCACAGGTAGCTCCTGCCATTTTGAAACGCTTAAGCACACCCAAGGACTCTTGTCCCTACTGTCTACCTGAATTCCTTCCCACTTTCACTGAGCACATTTTTATCTATCTACTGAAACTTCTTAGGTGCTGCCTCTTCCATGAATTCTTCCCTTCTCTGTCCTAATTCTGAATCCTGTAAATCCTCCCACAGTTGCCCCATTCTCTCAGTATAGTTTAGTTTTAAAGTCTGTCTCTCCCACTTGTCTGATTACCTTTTCGATTTTATTTTTTAATGGACAGATTCATAGTTTGTCTCTGCATCTACACTGCCTAATGAAACTAACGATGAATTATTACTAGTGTAAAATGAAAAGCCTGGCTCTTTTGTTTCCTAAAGGGACCTGCGTCTAGTTGGCCTAGAACATCCTCTGACGTTAATTCTGCTGAGATATTCCCATTTTGGTTTATTCAGTATCCATAACTATCAACAACCAGCCCACAAACTGTCAGCAGCACAGTGGCTGGTGAAAAACAAGTGACGTCAGAAGCGAAGGCGCATGCGTCTTCCTACAGGTACTGGGCGGTACAGGCAGAGAGGGCTGGCTGTCAGTTCCTTAGTCGTCTGACTCATGAGCAGATTACTGATAACCAATTTGAACAATGCCTCTGCTACTCAGGAGACACTGATTCCGATGACGATGATTGACGAAGCAGGAGGTAGGTGGTGGAGCTTGTACAGAGAGCACTGAAGGGACTTGCCCCAAACCAGTAAGGCACTGGCAAGCATGGGAACGCGGCCCAGCAGTTCTCACTCCCCAGTCTGGTTCTTTCAGAGAACAATCCCCCAAACGGTTTTCCACCGTAAGTTTCAGGTGCGTAGCAATGTAGAGCTTTTGGAATGACTGGTTGTTTAGCTGAATCTCATTCGTCTTTCAGTTTCAACATCTCTCCCAACCTTCCTCACCACCTCTGCTCTGTACTTATAACGGGTTGATGAATCTATAATAAACAAATAGGACTTAATCATAATGTCCTCGCTACTGCTTCCTGGGCCTTCTTTTTCTAACTAGGTCATAGATTCCATGAAGGTAAGGGTTATGTTTTATTTCATTACTTCCCATAGTCACAGGAAAAGGCATGATTCACAAGAGACATTATGGGGTTTTGTATTTATAGCATGTGTGGTTGTTTATACATGCAACTAGTGTCTCTGCCTTGCTTTGTGAGCAGCTTCATGAGCCAAGGCACCTCCATTTGAAAACTGCCATCTCAAGTTAGGATCCCCCAAAGGAGATTATGAGGTCTGCTCAGGATTTTCCTCTCTGGGAGTATAGTAACTGCTGCTTGTTGATTTTTTTTCTAATTTCTCCCATTACTATTCACTTGCATGCCCACTAACATTTAGTTTATTCTTTATTCTCTTTCAATGATATCAGACAATACCAAGAAATAGCAAGGACAGTCCAAACTTGCAAGTGTGAGAAATGTGCTTATTGTTGAGAGATGACATTTTCCAGCCTTTGCAACACCAGGAAATATGGCTGTGACCAGAAATGATAGCAAGTTAGACTGTCCCAAGGAAGGCATGATGTACCCAGTCCATAAGGGGTAGAAAGAGTCAGTAAGGGTCCATGAGGCTGGGAAGGAGACCCGTGTCAGAGGACATGGGTACTGGTGTCTACCTCCACACCTCTTTTTTCTTCTCTGGGCCTTGACCTTGTTCCATGTGGGAACTTACAGAAGTGGGAAATTAAGCCGTCAACTACTTTGGGAAATTTGAGTTTAACAGTGCTTTTCAAAAGAAAAGAAAGATAGACAATAATGAAATTAAGTTCTTTTCAAAATGTAAACAAAATGTAGAGATGTTTGTTCTCAGTACATTTAAAAACCAAAGGTGGGAGTATTTATCCAAAAGGCTCACAAGCCATAGTACAGAAACCGTGATCATTAGGTCAGGTACTTCAGAACAACCTGGGTGCTTGTTGACATGCCTGTCCCCAGCCCTGTCACAGGTGCAACAGTCGCAATCCTGAAAGGGGGCCTAGACTCTGGCAGACTTGCCTGCCACCCAAGTGACTCAGCTGCCCCCAAGGGTAAGGGTCTCTGCATTACAGGGAAGACATGTGCTGTCCCTATGGGGGAGATGTTACAGTCTTCTGTTCTTAGCTATTGGTGGGAGAAGAAGCAAGGCCTCTGACAAGGTCAAAGGTAGTGTTCAAACTAGCAGCTGGGAGGCTTGTGATCTTTGATCTTAACTGAAAAAGAATATCCCTCTGGTTAAGAGATCTAGGTCAAGTTCAAATTGTCTCCTGCCCAGCCAGCATCTTAAAAGGTCTTCCCACCTCACAACCCAAACCACCAAAGGGTACTGCCTGCCTCCTACAGCTCTGTAGTAAGAGTTCTTCCCATCAGGATTGGCACATGGTTAGAACAACTCTTTCCTTTCTTACCATTTTCTTCCATTTCATTCTGCGATTCTGATACCAAGTCTTCACCTGCAGCTGAGTGAGTCCCAGAGACTGGGCCAAATCCAACCTAGAAGGCATGAGATACAAAGCAAAGATGAGGAAGATGGGAGAGGGCAAGAGCGATGAGGGCCTGTTGGTTAGCGCCAGGCACCTGCTCCAGCTCGGACCTCCCCACTTAAGCTAATTCTTCCCCAAAGGGCTTTTCTTTCTTTCCAAGAGGCCTATGGAAGAAATTTTGGGAAGCTGAGGAATAGGCGGCCACACCCAAGAACATCTGAGGCAGTCCCCATTTCAAAAACATTCCTGGTCTGTAACTGATTTGCAAAGGATGTCTGAGCAATCATTACAAAATCCTGCTCTAATCACTCAGATCCTCCATGAGATGAGTACTTTGACCCAAAGTCCAAACTGGAAATGAAAGGTAAAGTCATTCATCTGTGGAATCTTACTCACCATTCCAGATGCTGTTCAGTTCCCATCTCCAGCAGGTAAGCCTCCTGGCTCCTGTGACCCCTCTCCTCTGCCCCCTCTCACAGGGCAGCAACCAACTAGGTGGTCCCATGTCCTCAACTGTGGTCAGTCTCTTCACATGTGTTATTCCTGCCTCCCTAACTCAACAACAGTCCACTTCATTTATATCCACAGAAGTGCCTCTCACATGGATAAGTTCAAAACAGGGGCTCAAAAATACTTTTTGATGGATGATTCCCGTACTGTAGCTGCCCTGAACTGTTATAAAAATTCAAATGTGCAAAAAGATTAAATATTACAAATATCTCCAATGAAAAATTAAAGCTGTAGCACCTCCTACTTTCCACAGCCGTTGCTAATCATATTCTGCATTTCTCTGTGGCTTTCTGAAAAGTTCTAAAAGCCAAATCCCTCCATGAGGAGTGTGCAGTGGGCTACTTCCAACAGCACAGTTGCTGTTCCTTGAGCATCACAGGCTCCACGCAAAGGGCTTGCCACGTGCTGTCTTATGTTTTCCTTGTACCACACTGTGAAGTTGATCAGAGTATCTCAGCTGATCCTGGAGGAGTAAGAGGTGGAGGCAGGGTTCAAATCCACTTGTGTCTAACTTGCATGCCACCTGCTATAACAGGGTGCATCCCCACCCACAATATTTTTGTACAAGTCAGATCTGTCAGGAAGAAATGCAGGAATGCTACACTTCAGGGAGTAGCAAACAACCTAAGTGGAGAGCAGGAAAGTAGCAAGTAAGGACAGTTTGTAGCCAGTATCCTAACGCTGGCCCTCAAGGCCGTACCCTCTGACCTGTGTGGGTCAGACCCCAACTCTATCTGAGTACCACCTGGAAGGCTCCCTGAAGCAACAACATTAGCCGCCTTCCTGCAGCACCAACGTGCCCAGTGGAGCAGTGTGGACTTGTAAAGCAGTTTGGTCAGTGACTACCACTCTGAAGGTCCCCAGGTTTCTGAGAGTAGCCATTTGCATACCATACCAATGCAGGCACAGCCTGAGTCCTGCGGAGGGTTAAGTGCAAGTTCTCAGCTATAGCTTTCTCTGCCTGAAGACATCTACTGATTAGCAGGACCCATGGGTACTGGTCCTGAAGGTTCCAAGTGTTGATACCTGGTACTCTCATCAGGGCCCCTGCTCTGACTAGAGTGCACAGATCAAATCTCTAATAAGTGGAGTGTACCTTTGACAGATTTCAGAATCTGTCTTAATTCTACATTCACATATAGCTAGCCATCTCTTTAGAAGGAAAACCAGCAGCTGAAAGTTTTATTGAAAATAAGTAACAGAAAGAAGCCAATAAATTCCCAGGGCCAAAAGTGCTCAGTTTTTCCCATTAAAAAAGCACTGTGTCCCAGTAGACGTTCACTGAGCACCAAGGACCCAGAGCACCATCCCACAGACTTCTGGTGTGCTGGGCCTCCTGGGCTCCAGCAGTACCTCTCCAAGCCCAGTTCACCTGAGGCCATCAGGTGCGTTAGTCAATGGAAGGTTCACAGCTCTGCCACTGCATTAGCAAATGGTATTAGCTCACTTGGGAAAAATGCATCCTTGACTCACTCTGGCTACAGAAACACATTTCACTGTCATCAGCTTTCTCTCATTACCTGCCACCATTACAGATTCTCACTTCCCTGCATATTCACTTAAATGGAATCACCTAGGAAACCAGAGAAATAAACATAGAGGACGAGGGTAGAAGCTGTGGGAGGAGGGAGTGCTCATGGCCCTGGTCACGTAGGGAGTTGAGGAACATCCGAGAGGGCACGTTCAGGCAGCAGCTTCGAGCCAGCCAGATATGTCCTCCTCCCCAGGCAAGTGAATCAGTTCTGTGTAGGTCACCTGAGAGATGCCCAGACAGGTATGGGGAAGTCCCAAGAGGTTTATTGACAACTAACATTTCTGTAAAATGTTCTCCGGCTTCTGAAAAATAAGCCTAAAGTTTTAGCCCCACATGTTGAAGCCTTTTAGGCACACCACCATGCAGCTCATGAGAAGCTCAGGGCTGCCTAGGCCCATGAGGCCCTCGGTTACCTGCCAGCACATCTAAGCAGCACTTCATGTCTGGAGATCCCAGCTAAATCCCCAATTCACAAACCTACCTGCAGTACCCACCTGAAGGCACCCCAAGTGTGCAGATCCAAAACAGAACTCACTCTTTCCCCACCAAGCCCACCCTGCCCACTGTCATCTTTCCACATCACTGAATGGCATCCGTATTTACTGGTGGCCCATCTAGGAACCAGAGAATTCTCAACTTTCTGTTCTCTTTCTTCCCCACCATCAATTCTGCCCATTCTATCTGCAAAATTTTTCTCACATCTATTTTCTCCTCTCTGTTCCCACTGTCAACATCCTGGATTCCTTCCTAACTGGTTTCCCTCCTCCATCTTCTGCCACTCCTAACCAATCCGTTACGGTGCCACCAAAGCCCTGGTTCTAAAATGCAAGCACCATCACATCACTTCTGGCTCTTAGTGGCTGCTGACTACCTAAACAACAAAGCCCGAAACATTCCTCAGCCAGGAATGTGAGGTCTTCCTTTCATTCTTTAGCCCCACCTCTTACAATGTCCCCATTCACACTATAAGCTGGTGATGTCTCAACCACTTGTGCTTCCCTCAATATGTCCAACAAAACTTGCTTCTGTGCCTTTTGTGTGCTACTCCCTCTGTGAATCAAAACTCTTTAAGTGTTGCCTCTTCTGAAAAGGCATCCCTAATCCACCTGCTACCTTCATCAATATCTTTTGGTTCCTATAGCCCTCAG